ATACACTATAAAACTCAAACACTCAAAAGCTTTAAAAATCAGTGCAATGGCACCAACGAATTTGATATTTAATGGCTGCACTCGAAGTGTTAAAGCTCAAATCTTATTATCAGCCAAACTCAAACTAAAGTAAGTATATAAATACATATATATATATATATATATATATATATATATGTATATACATGTGCAAGGATATATGCAATCTAACAAAAAGACTTGCAAATCGCATCGTCATAATATGAATATTAAAAACATCATAATGGCCAGAAGTTAAAGTTGACAGCAGGTTGAAGGGGTCAAAGCTACGATTTCTAGTTGAATGCCATAGTCCGTGTTGGGGTGCGCATTTGCCGAGCGGGATTTTCCAGATGGACAAGCAGACAGCTCTATCCCTCTCTCTCTCTCTCTCTCTCTCTCTCTCTCTCTACCTCTATCTCTATCTCTTTCTCTGCGTCTGATCCTTGGGCGGACAACAATGGCCAGCTGGCGAGCTATTCAAGCGGTAAATTGACAGCTCCAGCAGTTTTAATAATAATAAGATTTGCAAACAATTTAATTGCAAAACTACAAAGTTCCAAATGCTTAATTTAGATTATGACATTGGATTCAAAACTCTTATAAGGACAGTTATTATGTCGACATTATGTCGTTTGTCGTGTGTCGTCCGCCATTGACTTTGAGCAATTTTGAAAAAATTGCATGGGGTTACATCAGAATATTTTAAAACAAGTAAGAGGCTCTAGTCGAGAGCTCCCGACTAGGGGATACCCTGAACCCTCTTCTTCCAACATCAAATGCATATATATATTCTATTTTAGAAGCTATATGTCATGTTTGGTGACCCTAGCTCTTATTATTTACTAAAATTGCCCAGAAAACATGATATCGATATCGATTTTTATCGATTGCTTGGAAACGGAGTAAGTTATCGATTATCGGAAGCTAACATCTAAAATTTCAAGTCTCTAGCTCTTAAAGGTTCTGAGATCCTTGCGTTCATACATACGGACGGACGGACAGACAGACGGACATGGCTAGATCGACTCCGCTATTGATGCTGATCAAGAATATATATACTTTATGGGGTCGGAGAAGCTTCCTTCTGCCTGTTACATACATTTGGATTTTGCACAAATACAATATACCCTTATACCCATTTTTAATGGGTTCAGGGTATAATCATCGAAAAAGCTTCGATTTTCGCACCGACCTCTATTTTGAAAAAAAACGTGATGTAACCCCTTGCCATTTTGTCAATTTGGGTCAAAATTTTGGATTTCCTTTTTTTTGATGCCAATCGATAGAACTGATCCTTACGAGTCAAAAATGGTATAAAATTGCAAAATCGGACATAATTTGATGGAAATATTCCAAAAAATCATCAAAAAGGTTGAATTTACGAAAGAATCGTTTTTTTGTCAACAAACCCATCGATGATTAATTTGTTTGAATGCCAATTGATGGTAGGGATCCGTACGCATTCAAAAAGGTATAACATTTTGAAATCAGACATTATTTACCCGAGATATTAAAAAAAATCATCGAAAAAGTTTCGATTTTCGCACCGACCTCGATATTGAAAAAAAACGTGATGATTTGGAAGATATGACGTTCCAAAACGTCATAATTCCAGGCGGAGATACTCCGCGCGGGAGATATGTCGTTTTGGAACGTCATATCTCCCGCGTGGAGTTATGTCGTTTTGGAACGTCATATCTCCCGCGCGGAGTTATGTCGTTTTGGAACGTCATATCTCCCGCGCGGGAGATATGTCGTTTTGGGACGTCAAATCTCCGCGCGGAGCTATTACCCGACAGCTATTACCCGGGGTAGGTTCGAATATCAAAACTTTTTTGAATATTTTTTTGAAAATCTCGGGTAAATATCGTTTGATTTTGAAATGTTAAACCTAATCGGAGGTAACAATAAAGTTTTTGACAAAAATCGGTTCGGTTATGGTATGAATCTTTACTGTTGTATTTTTCGAATATCTCCGCCAAATACTGTACGATTTTGAAATTGTATACCATTTTTTAAATTAAGATCCGCCTAAAAGTATGCTGCGCTAAGCGGCCACCTGTAATGCACAGCCGAAGTGTATGCCGCACAACATGTTCGCTGGCCAACATGTTGCGTTCCACACTACGCATGTGGAACGTGTTGTACAACAGATTAAAGCCGCCTGCTGTTGGATCTGTTAGACTAACAGTAGCAGCAACAGTCGCTGCGGTGCAGGTTGCCGCTGGCTGAGCTGAGACTGTTGCAAGCCAATCCGGTCGGAATACAGAGGGAAACCCTATGGAATTGTTCTCATCCAATCGATCTGTCAGATCGGTTGATATAATCACCCTATCATTAACCGTTTAATTCAAATTGTTTCCATAACAGTAAAGCTGAAAAAAATCTGAGGGAATAGAGACAACGCTGGTAAAATGTTTGTTTTGCATTTGAAATCTTTATTTAATTTTTCTGCGTTATTCGTTTCTTGTGTTGAAATGCTCATTAAATTAATTATAGTTTTAAAACATTATTTGTTTTTATTTAGTTGTGATCTTTTTTTGTTTTTATTTTTGTTTCATCAATAATTAATATGCATAACGTTACTTACAGTTGGGTTACTTAAATTATACAATAATAATCATAATTTAATGACAATAATGTGCAAACGTTTCGTGCCAAAACGTTTATTCAAAGGTTTTATATTAAATAATGCCTATATTCAAGTTGTTTTAAGAGTGTGTGTGTGTGTGCGTGTGCGTGTGTGAGAGAGAGAGGGAGTATATCTGTGTGTGTGTTTCATTTTCAGACAATTCTAATAAATTTTCTGTTTCGGTTTTAGTTTCGTTTTCGCTTTCGCTTTCTCTGCTGATCTCTGGGCGGCACTTTAGTGCACTTCCCTGTCTCTGCGCTCTCTTGTGGTTTATAGTTTTATAAAATATCACATTTTAAGCTTTTTTTTATATGAAAAAAAAAACAAGCAAAATATTTATATATAAAAGTAAAATTGCATTGGAAACGTATAGAAAAAATGATGAGAAACTATTTATTATAATTATATATTTATAGCATAGTAAAAGGAACGCAAAAGCAGCTGTCAAATTGTATTTCAAATCATTTCGTATCTGTATCTGTGTGTGTGCGTATGTGTCTGTGTGTGGGTGTGTGTGTGTGTGTGTGTGTTTAGCATATTTATGTTTTGTGCTAAATGTGTTTTATCCTCTTCTTTTTTGTTTTTGCTTTGTTAAAATTTTCTGGTATTTGAATAGTTACGCTGCTGGGTTTTCTTTTATTATTATATTTAAATCCAATATTTTATGCATTTCATTTCGATTTTGGTTTTTTGTATTTTTTTGTATTTTTTTGTTCTTTGTTTTTGCTTTTATGCTTTACGTTAATGTAGACATTAAAAATTCTGCAAAGTGCAGTTGAGAATTTAAAATTTGATATATTCGTGTGCATTTCCGTTTGTCTGTGTGTGTGTGTGTGTATGTATGTGTGTGTGTGTGTGTGTGTGTGTGTGTGTGTGTGGGTGCCCAAAAGTATGCAACGCCTTTTGCAAGTGACATATTATGATATTGCCCCACATTTTGGTCACCCACCCGTCGCTCTGCTCGGGTTGTGGTCTGTTCTATGCGTGTGTGTTTTCTGTATTTAGCTACAATTTCACTTTAAAATGTTTCTTACATATGTGTGTTTTTTTGTTTTTCTGCTTGATTTGTGCCTGCCATTGCCAAGTGGTTGGCAACGCAGACAGCAAAACCTTTGCACTTTGCCTTTGCCTGCTTTTTTGCGCAACGGCAAAAGGGAATTTTTGGCGATATTGTGGCGAAAGCGAATTGGCAAATCGTTTTCCGGTTCACTTCATAAGGTTGCCCATTCGAATCGTTTAGATTTGCAAATTGTTAACAATATTATTTTAATTTTATTTATTATTATTATTTTTTTTTTTTTTAGTTTCGTTAAGTTGGTTTTAATTACACCACATGCAAGGGAAATGGGGGAAGGCTTAGCGCTTTGGTTAGGGGGTTGTAGAAATGCACATTACGTTTACAATAATGACAGGTTGACAGTGTTCTATTTATGTCTGTAAGTATATCCATCGAATTTTTCATTTATATATATCCGTAAGTAGATATACATACATATACATCTATATATAGATATAGATACATATATGCAATTGTTTTTAAGACACATTTTTTAAAAAGTAAGTGAACGACTCAACAACTATGCGACTATCTGTCTGTCCTGCTCTAGCTGACTGTCAAAACAACTATTAAGCTGTATTCACGAGTATGTGTATGTGCTTGAAGTGTTTGGGATTTTCCTTTTACTTTCAATTTTGCTCGTTCTCTCTTTTTTTCTATAAGTTACTCTTATTCGTTCTCTTTGCGCGAATGCAATTTAAGTTGACAGCCCTGGACAAATACAAATAATTTGCGTTTCTAATGTATTTTATCGACTCTTTGCTTATCCTTCTAAGCGCTTCTCGCTTCTCTCTGTCTTGCTGCTGTTGTTCAGTTTTTGCTGTTAGCTGTGTGTCAATTAAATTATTAACGTGTCCGATTTATTTACATATGTTTAACACTCAGAGCTTAAGTCTAAATAAGAAATATGCATTTATATGTTAATAATAATAATGTTCGAAAAAAAAACCTTTTTAATACATATATATCTGTATATATTATATTTTTTTTATTAAAATTTTGCCAGTGGCGTTTTCCATCAATATATTTTATGTCTATATACAAGCAATGCTAGTTTATAAATACAAAAAAAAAATTGTTATCGTATATATAGTATACATTTATATATATTTAAGTTTAAAGATTTGTATTTATGTGTATGATAATATATTTGCCATGTTTTAAATATTTTTTTGTTTCGTTTTTTTTTCTTCTCAGTTTTATTTGTTTTTGCAAATAAACGCCCTTAGTTAAGACAACTTCTTGGCCAGGCCAGGCCAGTCCCAGATCTAGTCTAATAAAAAAAAAAAAAAACAACAACAATTCTCAATGCTAATCTTAACCCCCAAAAAAAAAACTGCATTTCACATAGTTAGTTTATAGAATGGATATCAATTGTTTATGTACATGAATAAATATGTGTGTGTAAACTCTATGTATTATGTATGTATGTATGTATATATATAGACACATATGCCTAACATTAATAGCGTGCGCCAGTTTTGCCAGATATCCATGGTTAATACATATATTTTAAATATATATATTCAACATTCAATTCTGTGCTCTCAAAGATTACTCAAATACATCAATATAGGTATATATATATTTATATGTATGTAAGTGTATATATATGTATGTGTGTATGCATGTCGTTTTACTACACATAGATAAATAATTGTATTTAACACTCAAATTGTTTATCGTTTATCATTTATCGCTATTCGTTAAATATTTTTTTTATGTCTTTAGATAATCGCACTCGTTATCTATAAAATTCACTACATTTGTGTATGTGTTTTGCCTTTTTAGGTATTTTGCCTGTGTGTGTGAGTGTGAGTGTGTGAATGCATTCATGCCTAGAAGAAGAAACTACCTAAAATATCCAGCAAAAACAGTTATGCAACGTTTTCAGCTTTACAATCCGTTAACGTCTCCGTCTCTGTCTCTGTCTCCGTCTCCGTCTCTATCTCTGTGTCTGGTTCCGAATCCGAGTCAAAGTCCGAATCCGAATCCGAATCCAAGTCCGAGTTTAGTTCCGTTTCCTCTTTATAGTATAACACTTTGTAGTTAGTCTGTTGTAGGTACCTTGCGTTTCGCTTTGATGTCACCCAATTCTTGATGCCCACTCACAACATGTCCGCAAAGGAGCCGTATTGCTCGTGGAAGATCGGACGGCAGCACTCCTCGACGGCATCGTATTTGTAGTGACGGCTGCGGCCAGTGTGACCGTAGCGTTGCTTTTGTTTTTGCTGTTGCTGCTGCTGCTGCTGCTGCTGTTGCTGCTTCTGCTTCTGCTTCTGCTGTTTGTGGCTAGAAATGTTGCTGCTGCTGCTGCTGCTGTTCTTGCTGCTGTTGTTGCTGCTGCTGTTGCAGTTGCAGTTGTTGTAGTTGCTGTAAATGTTGTTGCTGTTGTGCTTCGGCTGCGGCTGTTGGTAGCGCTGATGCGCATGCAAATGCGTATGCGAATGTGGTTGGTAGTAGTGGATGGCATGGCATGAGGCAGTCTTTGTATTGTATTCCTTTAAAAAAGCAACAGAAGAACACGTTGGAATTATTTTAACAGTTTGTATAGCATGTGTGCAATGTGCTAAAAGGCTGGCTACAACAATTACAGAGGTCAACTATGCTGATTTAATTGACGCTTAGTTTACTTTGTATTACCACAACCTGTAAATATTTGAATGGTGAATACATACATATATTACTAATATATAATACTTCTTAATAATTTGTGCACGTTTTATGTAGCTCGACTTGGACAAAGGCATGTGGTTATCTTTGAAGATTAGATATGATATGATATATAGATAGACATGCATGAATACAAATGTATAAAACTCTAACAAGCCCAATTCCAAGCCAAATCAAGATATGAATAAATGGATTTAATACATTTCCATTATACACTTTCGCAGTTCTTAAAATTCTCTTAAATAATATCAATTTAAGATTTATTTTATATATTCTATTTTCTTGGAATGTTTTGTGAAATTGTGAGAGCTTATTTTACATCTGACTTAAGTAGAAGACATATCTAGATACGTTTTCGAGCCGGGAACACGAAGAAAAGTTCTTGGACATTTTTTCAGAATACAAAAGAAATAGTTGATATACTACGATTTGCTTGCGATTCTTCAGATTCTCTTCAGCCTCTCTCCAGGTGTCTCTCTCTCTCTCTATATATATCGCTCTCGCTGTTTCTATATGTCTCAATGTCTTTTTCTCTTTTTCTGCTTCTCTGCTTCTCTCTCTTTCTCTCTCTCTTTCTCTTTCGCCATTTGCTTATTTGTCACTCTGCCTCGCTCCATCTGGCGTCTGTAACTTTCCTCTCAACGGTCAGCAAAATGTTGCCAAAATTGTCGCAACAAATTGCCAAAAGGTTTTGTTGCATTGTTGTTGTTGCTGCTGGCGCACTGCCCGCTGCCTATGTCTGTTGTGTGTGTGTGTGTGTGTGTGTGTGTGTAAGTAAATAACGTTCTCAAGTGCTTTAAGGTAGCCGCCGCATCCGCCGCCGCCGCCTCCGCTGCTGCTGCTGCTGCTGAAGCCCTGAAGCCGCATACATATTATCAATAAATTGCATCTGACTGCCAACGCAGACAGCGCAGTTGGCGCAGCCACGCCCCCATTCAAAAGCACACACACACACACAAGCACATGAACAGGCACACAGCGCCCTTTGCTATGCTTCAGTTTATTATTAAAAGGCAAATAAAATGTTTGCCCCATTTCAATGCCAGTTTCTCTCTTACCCTCTCGCTGTCTCTTACTCGCATTGTCTCTCGAACAGCTGCCGCTGTGGCACCTTGTTCTAATTTATTTATTGTTGCATACATGTACAATATAATTTTATTGGGTGTCTGGCCCAGCCGACGTTAAGGACACCAGCAACTAGCCGTTACCCTAACCTATTGCCCCCTGCCAACCCGCACTTCGCATATCTGGTTCCCTTTCATCCTTGTCTCGGCATCCGCACACACTTGACCGCATTGCGAGCTTTAACAATTATGTTGGAAAATTTGTGAAAAGTCAACTGGATAACGGGCTGCCAATTTGATACACTTGCCACAGCTGGCAAGCACACACACACACTCTCACACACACACACACACAAGCCCTTGATGCTGCTGCTGTTAAGGGGCAGCGCTTGACATTCGGCGCCAAAGTTATTAAGCGGATAGAGGAGCTGTACACTACCAAAAGCGGCTTAAACAACACGCAAATGTTTTACAAAAACAACAACAATAACAACACACACACACACAGGCACGCACAGGTGAACTGCACCGCCCCACCCGCCCATTGCCAGCGCCTTGTAGAATGTTTTTTGTTTTAAGTTTATTGATGTCGACGTGCGTTTTTCATGCCTCAGCACACAGCCGTACGAGAGTGGACAGAGCCGCGCGGAGGGGCAGGCAGGTGGCAGTCGAGCATAGAGAGAGAGAGAGAGAGAGAGAGAGAGAGAGAGAGGGAGAGAGAGAGAAAGTGCGAGGGGGTAGGGGGAGGGGCAGGGAGGAAAATCGGATAGCAGACGCGTCTGCGACGTGACAAAACCCATTATAGATGCGACCGCAAAGATAACACTCTGACAGGGTGCCTGGGCCAGCGACGGCAGCTACAGGTCGGCGGCAGCGGCAGAGACGGCAACAGAGGCGGAGACAGACGGAGGCCAAGCTCCGAAGTGGGTGTTCGTATGGAGCTCCTGCAGTAGCAGCAGCAGCAGCAGCAGCAGCTGATGGATGTGTGTGTAGGCGTATGAATCGCAATGAAACAGGCATGCCCCAAAAATAAAAGGTAAGCTTCAAAAATACCCTGTAGCCGAAGAGCGGCGTGAGTCGGGCTTGTGACTGAGCAAATGAAAATTATTAAAAATAAATAAAATAAAATAATGTTAAATATTTGTTTATGCACTGAGAGAAAAGGAATACTGCAAGAAATTAACAATGAATTTAAGAGCAAGAAACAAAAGCGCATATGAGAGAAATGAAGAGAAAGCCGGAACAGCAAGAACAGCAAGACACAAGACACATAAACCCAAGAACTTGTTAGCTCAGGATTAAGGGATCATAATAAATATGCACACTCAGACAATTTAGAGAGACGAGAATAATTAACATATGTGAATAATAATAATCAATGTGTGCATTTACAGGTCATCGGCTAGTCGAGCAGTCAAACATTATAAAGTCAAATGTTTTTTGTTTGCAGAGGCTCGGCTTTCGTTTCAATTTTGGGCAGGGGGTGTTACATAAATTTCATTTTGTAACCATCAAAAAGTTAAGTCAACGATAAATTGAATGGCTGCATGATTGACTGAATGACTAAATGAACGAACGAGGCGCAGCGCTCCGTTTGAACACAGCTGCCAGCTGGACTCCACTCCCCCAAAAAGAGAAGAAGAAGCGAACTGCTGCCTGCTGACTGCTCAGCCAGTTGTTCGTTGGAAATTATGCGGCTCGTCGGCTGGCCAGACAGCGCAGACGGTTGAGTACACACACACACGCACAAACACACACGCACATGCACATACATGGCATATAGAAACATTAAGAGCTACAATATTAATAAAAAAAGTGACAACAGCCACAACAACGCCAACGAGCTAAAAGTCAAAAGCCGTCAAAAAGCGTCATTGAACCTTCAACCAACTCATCCGGCAACTGTCCAAAAGGCAGCGTGTGCTCAGGGACAGACCCGCCGAGTGGGTTGCCCAATGGTCCAATAACAAAGGGACATCCAGTGCCATGGCATCAGCAAGGATAGGACGACAGCAACAGCAACAGCAGCAGCTGAAGCAGACTTTCCAAGAATCTGTTGAGCTTACTTAGTCGGCGGGCCATAGAAATTATGAAGCTCTCCTTCTCTCTCTCCTTCTCTTTATCTTTCTCTCTCTCTCTACATTTATATATATATATCATATAGTGCAGAAAATTCTGCCTAAAGGTCGGGTAAACATTTATGATATTGTGTAAAGATTGTGTAAAGACTGATACAATTATTGTGCAAACATAGATAACTTTTCTTTTGATGAGTCAAGGCCTAATAGCTTATTAGCAGGAATAAAAAACTTAATAAATTAATAAATAAATAAAATATAGTAATTTCTACTTACATTGCAACAGCGCAGAACTCTTCGTTAATGAAAAAAGAAACAAGTAAGAGGTTCTAGTCGGGAGCTCCCGACTAGGGGATACCCTGAACCCTCAAATCAAATGCATATATATGTATTCCATTTCAAAAGCTATATGTCAAGTTTGGTGACTCTAGCTCTTATTATTTACCAAAATTGCCCAAAAAACTTGATATCGATATCGATTTTTGTCGATTACTTGTTATCGATTATCGGAAACAAACTCGATCTGCACTGCACTAGGAGCACCCTTCTGCACGTTCATAGTATATGAGACAAATAAACTAAGCTTAACTTTTTGTAATAGCATATCTTTAAATCTTTCGAATAACTATATGCCTAAAAGAAATACGTACTGCTGTAATTATGTATCTCACGTTGTTTTTCTGAATTTGCAAAATACAAGAAATACTGTTGCCTACTTTTTTGGGCGTGCAAACTGCGCTGAAGTTTTGACAAAATTCGTTGCGCGCAGTTCGCTGAGAGGGCGGGGTGCGGCAGCTGGCGTGCACTTAAAGTGTTTTTCAAGGCACTGGCGATTTTCGACCAGTGAAAAATTTCTGACAGGTCATAAATTGGCGTCACGAGTGGGCCAAGCGGGCCAATCCACAGGCAGCTCCAACTCCCCGGCGTTCTCTGTTTGCACTGGGGGACGACTGTTGTGGGGCGTTGTTAGTTGGGATACAGTTGTCTGCATGGAATGCGCTCAGAGTGCCCAGCCCAGGCAAACACCAACACACACACATAAATACATACTGTTGGGTGTTTGCCTGCGTCGCGGCTGTTGTTTATATTCCACACCGAAACGAAACGAAAGGCAGCCCAAACAAAAGCCGTTGCACAAACATAGGTGTGAAGCGCCAACAACAACAACGACAAAAACAGCAATAAGCAAAACAACATCAAACTAAGTGGAAACTCTGTACACAGCCAGTTGCGCGAATCGGGCATATTCAGCTAAGGGCACAACAAAAAAAGAAATAAAACAAAGCACAAATAGTTAAGCAAATAAACCAAAATATAAACAATTCATATATTAGTTAAAAGCAAAGTTTTCACTTGAAATAAACTAAAATAAAAAGCTAAAAACACTTCAAAGGAATTTAATTGTAATTGTATTATATTTTACAGGATATCTCCTAGTCGCTGACTTGCCTGCATTCACGTTTATTTGCTTGTTGTTGTCGCTGCGGCTGCGCTACTTGTACAGTTAATGAACCAAGCGTCGCATCGCGTTACATTGCCAAACTAAAGGTCCAACTTTCCAACCCCAACACCCAAAAAAAAAAATGGATGAAATAAAAAAAATGCCAAAAAAAAAATAATGTTGCACGCTGTTTTATTAGCTCGACAGCAACAAAATGGCCGCCAGTGTGCGGCTGCAGCGGAACC